AATCTATTTTAATATTTCTACATCGACACAAGTAACAAAGTATAAAGTGGTAAATAAAAAGAGAATATACATTAAGAATTTAAAACATCAATCCTGTTTGTGCGTAAATTCAATTTTGTATACACAAAGCAAAATATATGAACGGCTCGGAAAAACTTTGGGGGGGGGGGGGAGGAGTGTAGGGGGGAGATAAGAGGGGGGGGGGCGTATCTACCTTTTACTCTTTTGGTCGAGCCGCTCCATAGATTCTTATATTTTACTTTAATATTATCCTCGCCAATTAGCCATCATCACATTTATTTATCAACTGAGTACAGCTAAGTTTCTAGGGAATTACATACTATATTTTTAGTTTTATAAAAGGGGTCAAAAGTATATTTATTATTAGTTACGAATAGTTGGCTCGTACGGCCGTATACTTGGTCAGTCGACAAACAAATATGAGTGCTTACACTTTTCTAATACTAAATACATTAACATATTTTAGTATTTCGAGCAAATTTTTGACCGATTTCAAAAAAAGAATATGTACTTAATTGAGGTATTTTTTGTGAAGCTACGTAATATCATTTTTGATTTTAATATATTTTTTTTCTAAACATATTATATTTCAAATATTCGAACGTGGAATACTTACATTTAGAGTGATTTTGAAATCAGTAAACCATGTTCCATAAAAAATGTGTGAAACAACTGAAAAGTGTAAATGCACTGAAAGTTGATTTTATAAAACCCCTTTACCCAACTTAACTTTACTACCGATATCGATAATAATAGACTAAATAGAAATATAGAATGACTAAATAGAAATATATTGTTTCGATATTTCATTCTATACATTTAGTAGTTTTCTATTAACGATAGCGATTGTAGAAAGTCAAATTGGTAAGTTTAGTTATTTTTAAGGCCTTATTAGAGCGGAATATTAACATAATAGATAACTAAAATAACACACTATAGAACTCTTTACGTCGGTCAAAACAATCTATACATTATCACATATAAGCACCACCTTGGAGGGCATTGTTTCACAAATAGTGATGCGAATTGAATAAAAATTATCTAAAATATACAATCTATCTAGAGGACGGAATAATTATATACATGTATGAGATCTGTTGTAAAAATATTTAAAATTACTTAGAATCGACGATTCCTAAGCCGTTTTTAAAAATGACTACAATCAAGCTTAATTCTCGCGTGTTTTGATAACCCAACTTTTTTTCTACAAAAATTATCGAGAGTGATAGCTATTCGAAGATACGCGTATAAATATATCGAATGGGTGATTGTTTTAATGCTAAGAGTTTTCTTCAATCTTTATATAAGTGCCTACTCGAAAAAATGTTACAATAAATTCGTTAAATATTTTCATATTCCACGAGTTTTATACATGAACCCTCTCAAATCTACCATGAGAAGGAAGAATGAGGAGAAGGAAGTTGCGTAGTATCGTCTCTTCAAAATAAAGTTATTCACGAGACTTCAGCTTTATACTTGTAGTAATCATTTTTAAAATGCCTTATACATCTTGAACAATTATTTTTATTGATTTATCAATACCGACCGAACCGACTTCTGGTTTATGACCACTTAAAAAAGGTTCGATTATATATATTTTTTATTTCAAAATAGTAAATTTAATAAGTGATGCTGGAATCAAACTTACAATATCAAAGACCTTATTATACAATATTCTTTTTCTACTTAATATTTCGCTAAATAACAAACAGTTCTCACACATCATATTTTTCTAGTAACAATATGTATAGTCCTCAATATTACTGCTTAAAAACGTCTAGAGATTCCCTTTGAGTAGATCGAACTTGCGATCACTCCTTGAGTTAAAAACTCGATACTCGCTAGCGAGCACGTTTATAAGCTTTATGAACTAACACCCACATAAGTAGATGATAAGTTAATAAGACGCTAATGATTGTAGTAACAAAAACTCGCATTAATAAGACTATATACCTTTATCATATCATAGTAATAGTATATACTAGTAAGTTCTATAAAATCAATCAATAAACTTTTAAAAAAGGGGCAAAACAAAAGTTTTGAAACAAAAATATAAAGTTTAAAAAAAAACAAGGTATTAGAATAACCAAAATATAATCTTTTTTAAAATGTTTTATAAAGTTAAAGATTAAAGATTAAAGATTTTTATTGAACATAATAACATACATATTAAAAACATTTAGATCGTAAGTAGCTGCATTAGTATAAACTGTGTCGCAGCTATTTACGCCCACCTCGGGACAATAAGGAGAGTTATGTTCTAAGGTTAGTACAAATATATTATTAGGGTGTGTTAACAGAATTAGTTACTATTGTAATGATATTAATTTAGTTTAAGCTTATATTTATAAATTATACGAATTCTTAGGAGATGAAGGTAGAACAATCAGGTTGGTAAGTTTTATAGTAGCGTAAGTACTACACTGTATAATATATACCTGCTTTATGTACGTACAGAACTTATAAATAATAATTCACAAAATTATCTTATAAACATACAATTAACTATGTTCATTAGTTATCGTAAACAAGTGATTCAGTCTCTTTATAATTGAGATTTTGCAAAAACTTAGTTACTTTATTTTTACATTGCCAGTAAGACAGAGGATGGATGTTTATCAATGCATTCAATTTGTTATAGATTTTAGCCGAGAGATAGACATAATGATTTCTAACAAGAGCAATACGAGTAGGTTTCATATTGCAAATGCGGCCAGCCCGTCGGTTTATAGCATTTTTAACAAAAGGTAGCTCAAGGTGTTTGCGTAATACCGTTTTTAAGACAAACAATTGTCTAACCGTTAAGACTTTAGCTATTATATACAATTCAGAAGTAGCAAAACGGATTGGTTTGCAAAGCATAACTTTAAGAACGGCTCTTTGGGCTCTCTCCAAACGGAGGAATCTAGTTTTCCCTGTCCCACCCCAGGCTGATAAACAATAAGTCAGAACAGACTGTGCCAGCGAGAAATATACGATCTTCAGGGTTTGTTGATCAGCAATATTTCTAAGGGTCTTGAAAATATACATTAATTTTCTAATTCGACCGATAGCCGCCTCAACCTGGTCATTCCAAGTCATTAGAGAGTCAATAAGAACGCCAAGATATTTAACACAGGAAGACTGCGTTAGCTCAGTACAGCGGCAAAAATCGTCATTTGGGTTACAATTGTGGGCGTGGATAGACAAAGTAGACGGGGGCAGAGACAAGGCTTTGGGAGCAAAAGCTATGAAAGTCGTTTTGCTAACATTAACTGTCAATAAGTTCTTAGCGAACCATTGCATCACTATCCTTAACGTAGTCTCAGCGAGGAGTCGAGCTTCCTCCCATGTTGGTGCCTCTATGAGAAGGGCAGTGTCATCAGCATAAGCGTAAACTTTAACATTATTGAGAGCTAGATTGCATAAATCATTAACATATATTAGGAATAATGTTGGTCCGAGGACACTACCCTGAGGCACGCCGAACGATAGAGTCACTTCATCACTGATATGATTGCCTATGCGAACTTGCTGTGTGCGATTACTGAGGTAACTTTTAAATATATCAAGTACGAGTCCTCTCACGCCAATACACTCTAGTTTCCCCACGAGAATTGGGACAGAAACAGTGTCAAAAGCTTTGGATAAGTCAAGGAAAATACCAATGGTTTTATGTTTACAGTTAAAATTGTCAATAATAGAATTTGTGAGAGCCAGTACAGCATCCTCTGTAGATTTCCCACTTCGAAAGCCAAATTGATTATCAGAAAGTATCGAATATGCATCAAGGTATTTTATCAAGCGAGAATTTAGAATTTTTTCAAAGATTTTAGAAAGTGTTGTTAAGACGGAAATAGGCCTGTAATTGTTGACACTGTCTCTGTCACCGCTTTTATAAATAGGATGTACAAGGGCCTTCTTGAATACCCGAGGGAATGTCCCCGACGACAAACAGAGATTATAAATGTGTGTCATTATTGGCACAAGAACGGAACGCGCGGCCTTAAGCAGTGACGCTGGTATGCCATCCCACCCCACGGCACAATTTCGTAGTCCCATAGTAATTCGTTCGACTTCCTCATTGTCAGTTTCAATTAACACCATAGAATTTACATGGTTACAATTTTGAGGTGTCGCAAAATGATTAGACTGTCCGGTAAACTGCGCGGCGAGGGTTTTCCCGATATTACTAAAATACTCATTGACCAAATTAACTGCCGCTTTCGGATTTTCGCTTAACGACAAGAGGCTATCTGCTTCGGAAGAATTTTGATCGAGGTTGGTTATATTTTTAATAAGCTTCCAAGTAGCCTTGGGATTATTTTTCGCTTTATGGAACTCTGACCGTTCATAAGCTCGTTTAATATTTTTAAGTAAATACTAATAAGTAATAATTGTAGCTAATTTATATATTATATATAAAATTGTTTTAATTTATTATTTTATTTTGTAATTAATAATAATGTACAAAATAAGTAATGAAAAAAAAAGCGTACAACAAATACATTATTTATAAATTAACTTGAAACTATATGTACATATATAAATTCTTTTTAAATACTTCAACGTTATTCTTAAAAATCTTAGTTTAATAAAATATAACATTGGTTTTTTTTGTTTACACAACTTAAAATACTATTAGTTGTTATGATATTAATTTACGCAGCAATCGTAGTAAAATGGCTGCCTTAAATCTATATTGAAAAACAATTAGAACAGATTTTCATAATTTTTCAATCCAAATTTCTAAATACACTTTAAAAAACTATAACGATTATAGTTTCTGACGCTAACGCTAACGCTTAATTACATGATATGATAAAGATATGAGTCCATCACGAGTTGCATATTTCGATACTCGCTAGTGAGGAAACATTCATTATACTAAAACCATACCATTACCAATTGAATTAGTAACTTGATAGACTAAGTTGATATAGTTCAGTGGAACTCAAAACTCGCTAGCGACAGCTTAACAAACTACAATAGTAGCGTTAAACGTATACTTCACCTCGTTTTGAGCTTTTTCTTGTGAATTCGGGTGGTGTACCGGTTTCCGTATCTGATGGTATTTCTGTTACTGTTGCTTTTCTATCTATAGGTGTAGTGGGTGTAGAGAGAGTGAGTTGTGAGACAATGGGAGAAAGAGTCACGGGGGTTACCACGGGGGTAGTCGTCAGCATGGGGGTTATACCTGAAATTTAAATATTTTTTTTATAATTGAATAGCAAAGAAAGAAAAAATACGTGATTATCACATTACTATAAATCAAAGTAGCTACATCATTAAGTAGTTAAACTCCTTCAATTTTTAAAATAGATTATAGGTAGTAGTGTCATCTCTGTCTCAAAAATAATTGAAACTAAAGTCTTAGATCAGAAAGACGTGTAAGCGTCGGAAAGAACTTCTACTTTGGAGAATCAATATCCTAAAAAAATAACTAGACCTTTCAACTTGATACAAATTTTAAACCAATGGTACAACAGTCATTTCGAACGTAATAATAGCTCACCTTGACTCAATCCAGGTGACAATACAGCTTGAGCCAACGCTGTGGTCCCGGGTTGTCCGGCGTGCAAAGTGTTGTTCACTGATCCACTATCCAACTCCTGTATAGGGGAAAGCACTAGCGCCCCTAAAACTGGTACTTCATTCTGGTATGCCTGATGCATTATCACCCCCATATCCTGAACTGGACCCCATGTCCTCATAGCTATCCTGTTCTCTCGATCCATCACCTCCTTGGTGACATCTGGTGTGGGAATACGTGGTCTGTTCCTCAATGTTGTTGGTATAGACCCGTTGGTCTTTTGGCCTGAATGTTTTTAACAATTAACAGTGTTTATAATGATAGTACACGTATTAGAAACTTTAAAACGCAAAATAGAAATTCAGTCATTCCGATAACAATTAATTAGTATCAGCGTAATCAAGTAGCCGCGGAACTTTAGAATTTTTTTTGTTGGGTTTTAGTAGTCTTAGTATAAATTTTTGAAGGGAAAATTAAAATAAATCAAATTATACACAAGAAAGGTTTTGATTGAAAGTGTGTAAGTATTTTTTAACTGTCCTCGCTGTGAGGATCACAGGTAAAGTGAAATTCAGAATGAATTATATGAAACGACACGTTCGGCTTAGTTTGTAGTAATCCTACTTGCTGTGCCAGCGGTCGCGGGTTAGAGTCCCGCGGGGACATTCATTTGTGTGATGAGCACGAATGTTTGTACTCCAGTCTTGGGTGTTTATATTTATAATCTATGTATTTAAAGTTATATATGTGTAGTGTATCAACTATCTGGTATCCATAAAACAGGCTTTGTAGCTTACCATGGAACTAGATGGTGCTGTGTGTTAATGTCCCAACATATATATTGTTATATAAAACTTACCATGTTTTGAGTTTTGTCGATGTTGTCCTCTTCCGGACTTTCTTCCAACAAGTCTATCATATAGCGACATTTTATGTGGTGGAGCGGCTACAGGTTGTCCGGCCTCGGGGCTTGAATATACAACGGAGTTATGACGATTTCTACCAAAGAAACCTCCCGACGAATATGCCGTGGATGCCGATCGAACTGATCCCATTCGAGAGATCTGTCTTTGAAACCAATTTTTACGACGCTCTACTAATGGTGTGTCAACGCTTTCCTGAAATAGAAGCTAAATGTCAAAATCCCTATGTATGTACACACATAAACTGACTGATAGTAAAAACATATTTTAAAGAATTTGCTTTCAACTTAAATAAGATGGATTGCTCTTATTAAGATTTTTTTTCATTTTTAACCAACTTCCAAAAAGGAGGAGGTTCTCAATTCATCGGAATCTTTTTTTATGTATGTTCACCGATTACTCGAAGACGCCTTAACCGAGTTGGATTTTTTTTTGTTTTGAATGGTATACTTCCCAGGTATTCCCATTTAAATTTTATTGAAATCGGTCAAGCGGTTTTTTACAAAATCAACAAATTAATTATTTTTTTAAATAAATTGTTTAATCGAATATGTTATTAAAATACTTTCTTCTTACAAATTACCTGCTTATTACGTCTACACTAAAAATGGAAAAATAAAAACTTGAAAAAGACCCGGTTCCAGGCACTAAAATGTAAAAAAATAACTAAACGGGGGTTTTCATTTAGAATAGTTACCTAATCAGATATTTTCGAAGTCGGTGCCAGCCGATGCAAAGCAAATCTAATATATTTCGATACCTAAAATACATCATAAATTGATGTATAATATTTTAACTATAATAAGAGTTCATACCAAATTATATTTACCTATAAGATGTACATATCTTAAAATATTGTCGGCTGGCACCGACTTCAAAATATCTGATTAGGTATCTATTCTAAATGAAAGCCCCCGTTTAGTTATTTTTTACATTTTAGTACTTGGAAGTAGATTTCTTTTAAAGTTTTTTCAACTAATAAAATTCAAATTCAACAGACATATAGATGAAACCTTCTTGCTCTTCTAACATCCATTAGTTTTTCAAACAAATTTTATGATATACTAGTATTTGCTTTATTACTACAGTCTACTACAGGGCAATCGTGCGAGGTAATTCTTTTAAAGAACACCTGAACAATGTATCTCCGAAACCAAAAATTTACTCTCATAATACAAACTTACATAGTCGGCATAGGTTTCGTCATGGCTTTTCCTTGGCGCTTGAACATTTGCGTACACTGCGTCTTCAGCTTTCACTTTGTAGTGGTCTGCGGAACATGGTGGTTCATGGCGCCTATAGTGCTCTGATGCTACTGTGTAAGGCAGATCCTTCGGCACTACTTCTTCCCAATATTGATCTTTTAGGAGTTCTGGGTGCTCTTCATGCATCTCATCTACTATCATGTATGCTGCCTGAAAAAAAAGTATTTGACTGTATAATATTTTGAAGAACTTAAGTTATTATAAAGAATCATCCCAATATTCTTTGTAACGAGGGATTTAGGTTAGTTTTTGGGATATGAGACTATCCATTTGCAAAGTACCAGTTTTGGTGCAGACTTTAACCTGATTAGTAAATCTGATGTTTCTGTCTACTACCCTTTTTATTCAAATAAAATTCGGAAAGATTTTTTCGAATTCTAAAAAAGATTTTACCAAAGTATACTTGTTGAATACACGACAGTCGTTACAATGATGACAATTATTCAATAATTTCTCGCCATTAGACTGCTAATATCAATTTAAGTTCTAAATCTAGCCCTATAATAAAATTCTGAGTAGATTTCCTACATTAAATATTTTTTGGAAAATCTTACTTAAATAGTCATTATTATAGATATAGAGGCCGAATCTAATGTTTTTAGATTTTTTGTCGCATCACGAGAAACCCACTGGACAGATTTTGATGAAATTTGGTATGATGATAGCTGGTTATAGTCAGCATATAGGATATTTTTTACTTCGAGAAAATATTTCACCTCTGAGAAATGTATACTAACCGTTAAAACGTGCCTAGAGACGAACCCAAGCGAGCAAACAACAGCAATTTTCTATATAAAATTGATTAACTGAGATATTTAAGATATTATAGTATTGTGGATACTGAAAAATGTAAGTTCTATTTCGTAAATAACGAGTGAATTTTTTTATTTATAATTTTCATAACGCTATCTATTGGTTGTTCCTAGAACTAAAGTGAAGTCAGAGTTTTGAAATTCTGCCACTACGAAGTATTTTCAAACAGTTTAATCTTAGTTTTTAAGTATAAAGATGATTTTAAAGTATATATAAACAGGTATAATACCTAAAAACAATAGTTTCGTTACCTTTTGTAGTAAAATTCTTTAATGTGTCCTGAACTAGTACGGATATTGCTCCACCTACTTCAAGGCCCTGTGGCGCAATGGATAACGCGTCTGACTACGGATCAGAAGATTCCAGGTTCGAATCCTGGCAGGGTCGGGGATTGCCAATATGTGTTCCATTTTGTTTTTCTACATTCTAACCTTATTTTTAAATTGTGTAAATGAAGTGGGCTGTAATTTTATTCCTTACACCATTCTGTGTATCTTTTTAGGATCTTATAATGAATAGACATTTCTATACATATAATAAAATTGTAACTAAGCCGAATCTGTACTTTAACTATTTTTTTTGGAAAATCTTATTGAAATAAACATTATTATCGTTACAGAGGCCGAATCTATAGTTTTTAGAATTTCTTTCTGTCTGTCTGTCTGTTACCGTATCGCAGAAAAACCACTGGAGGGATTTTGATAAAATTTGGTATGGTGATAGCTGGTTATCCGGGTCAACATATAGGATACTTTTTACCGCGGGAAAATGTCTCATTTCTGAGAAAAAAGAACTGTAATGTAAGAGTATAGTAATATGTAAAATCTAAGAATTTACTTTTTGGTCATCTGAACGAGGGGGGAGCCGCGGGCGATGCTAGTCTAATATACTAGAGAAAGACTAAAGCGTTCCAAATAACTTCGGAAATGCTACAATATTGTAGTACAAACTTGACGTTGATGTAGTTTTAAGCACCTCCAATAGAGAGCGCTACGATTATTATTTGTAACAATCATATTTCACTACGTTTTGAATACATAAATGTTTAATATATCACATTTACTGGAACATGCAAAATTTTGTTATTACTTTTCAAAAAATATATATTATTCTCATCATAATGTTTAAGCACATCTTCGTGGAGTTTAGAGATTTCACTTAAAACCGTATCGAAATTCATTTTAAAAGTCTTCATTTTAGAATTTTCCATCAAGCCTGCTATATATATATGATGACGGAATAGATAATATTATGCAAAAATATAAAAGCAAAAATTGAAAAAATTAAAATTAAAATTTGAAATAATAAACCATGAATTTTAACTTCAAAGCTATATAACAAATGAAATATTGAAGATAGAAATTCGACTCAATGGAACTTTTTTTAGTAAATTTAATACTAAAAAAGGTCCATTCATTCATTTTTTTGAAAAATATTTTCGTCACAGTTTGCAGGACATAAAAGTATTAAAAACCATGAGTTCCATGTAATTTGTATGGGAAAACTTAAAATTTAATGGATAACCTCTTTATTCCCCGCGCAACAAGTACCTTAACAGTTCGTAATATAAGTACCAAGCTAAAGGCAAACTCTAAAAGAAATAAAATGTTAAACTAACTTATCTAGTGATAGTGATCTGTGACTAAAATCCATACATACTAGTAGCTCATATGTAGCTTCAAACTGCATCAGTAATGTAATCCTACAGAGTCAACCCTACAACGTCACATATGATATATGAAGTGTTTATAAACCAACAGACTGAATAAACACATTGTGCAAGAGAGTCATATGAATTATCTATATATTTTGTTTAAATATGTTTCTCTTGATCATCGCCGTCCAGAGAAATAAAAGAATATATATAACATATTAATATTAATGATATATCGTCATTAATATATCGTTATTTTTGATGAAAAACGCCTCAAAGCTTTGGACAAGTACGTGTTTTATTCCAGTTTTTCCATAAGACCCTGTGGCGTAACGGTTAACGCATCTGACAATGATCAGGAAGATCCAGGTTCGAATCCTGGCAGGGTCAGCATATCCTCGATATCGCCTTTTTGTATTTTTTACATATTAATTTGACAAAAAAACTGCTATGTAGTATATGAAAACAGACAGAAGTTTTTTTCGTGTATTTTTTATATCATAGTAAATTATTTAAGAGTACTTATAGTGGTAGTATAAAGTTCTAAAAAGGCGGAGAGATGACAATTGGAAAATTGTAATATTATTTGTTTCTTACTAATGACTCGCACCACACGTCGCGTCCTCACGGAACAGTCTCCATTCTCTATATCTGTCTGTTGTTCTATTGCATTTTTAAAGGTTCTATTCACTGAGTAATAAGTAGTATGTGAGAATTATGCTCTTCGTTCTTGAAATGATGTCCGATGGTATATATTTTCTATGTATAGAAAATGTATCTTTCCATAGAAAGCAATTTTGTGAATGTACTTCATTGATATACAAAACCTCAAGATATACATATTAGCGTCTCAAAAGCGTCCTCAGAAAATGTGCACAGTTCGAAATTGTGCACATTTTCTAAGGACTATTATCCACTATCTGGTATCCATAACACAAGCCTCGTAGCTTACCATGGAACTAGATGGTGCTGTGTGTTAATGTCCCAACATATTTATTTTTAAAGGTGAAAGACAGTAAATAAATAAATAAAAGTGAATAACTTTAATACATATTCCTGATGACAATAGGATTTTAAAGCAATATTATTTAATTCTAACTTGGAAAATGATATAAATTTAACAACAATTATATTATACTATATAGATTTTATTATACCTTCTCGAAGGCGGTTGTTTTTCGGATGATAAATTTGAAAACGTGACATATCGATATTAATGTCTATTTCAATTAGATTTTCCAAAAAAATATTTAATACAGATTCGACACAGAATTATATGTATACATGATGTCCATACTTCGTAATAATCAAATCGATTTTAAAATTTGTAAGTAAAGTACGTGAAATCTACAATATTTATTATTTAATATCTTATTTAGTTGATTAAAATGTGCAGTCTATTGCCACCGTTCAGAGGAATTGAATAATTTGTGTGTTTCATCAATATATCGTCATTTTTCAGTGAAAAACGATTCTTTCGCCCTGAACAAGTACGAGTTTTACTCCAATTATATAATAAGGCCCTGTGGTGTAAATGGGAACGCGTCTGATTAAATAAATCAGGACGATCCAGGTTCGAGTCCTGGCAGGGTCAGTGAGTATCCTCAATATCGCATTTTGTAGTTTTATTACATGTTTTTGATTTCAGTTTTACAACTTTCTTAATTTTTAATTTATTAATTTTTTAAGTGAAGAGTGGCTTTATATATTTTTTTGAAAAACTCCTGAACTTGAACAGCACATAGTTTTCCCTATTCATGACAGAGAAAATAATAGAAAGTATAGATATTTTAAAATAAAATTAATAATCATATATAATTATTTAACAATTAAAAAAACCTCGACCATCTTGAACCGATTTTCATGAAACATAGCTAAGAATACTCCCGACTTCAAACAAAAACATACAAAATCAAAACCGGTTCATCCGTTCGGGAGCTACGATGCCACATACTGACACACACATAAACACGTAAAACTTACACTCCGTCGTATTTGCGTCGGGGGTTAAAAATGATAATTATAACCTAAATATATTATAAACATTGGTAAAAATGAAAATATTCAAAATATGTGGGTTTTGTTAAGTATTCAGGAGATGGCGTTGTTCGAGTTATTAAGGGTTCTATCTTAATTCATAAAACTGACGTTCGTGTATTGCAAATATGTTTCTTTAATGTCACAGTCTATGCTCGGCAGATGGCGGTGTGGTACATATATATTAATACGTTAAGAAAAAAAATTGTATCATTTTTAAGCATTTACGCATAAGGAGGAATACGAGCTTAGTTTCCGAGCAGAAAGCCAAAATTCACTTGCGTTTTCCGAGACGCAGGTTATTTATTTATAATAAATTGCACTGCAACAAGCAACTGTGTTACGAGTATTTTAATGATTCAGTTTAATCACAAGGGTGATTTTAATTTCAAAATAAAAACAAATATGTTCAAGAATATTTTACTATTAAAAAAAGCCTTATTTAGCCTCTTTTTTTAGTAACAACATGCAGATGAGATTTGATAAGTACGGATATTGCGCCAATTAAAGCATAAGACCCTGTAGCGTAACGGGTAACGCATCTGAATACGATCAGACATATCCAGGTTCGAGTCCTGGCAGGGTCACTAATCATTCATCATCTCCAGGCTTTTGTTTTTCAGTTTTACAACATCCTTAATTATCAATTAATTTAAATTTAAGTGAAAAGGTGTTTAAAGACATTATTTGCCAAAAAATTTTTAGCTACCTACTTCGTAAGTTTTCCCTACTAAAGGCATAAAAAAAGTTGTTAATCGGTAACGGATAGAAGATAGTTTATACGAAACCATTTTATACTAGTAGTATTTTGTGCCAGTTAACGTATTTAAGATATTGAATAAAAAAAACAAGATTTACCTTTATATGCCTATCTATAAGCCAATTAAGCTCGATATCATCGTCGTCTTCGCCGAAGGGATTAATGAGAACTTCGGCCACTTTCAACCATCCCACGTAGAAACAAAACTGAAAGAAAAATATTACAGTTTTATAAAAATATATTGTGTATAATCAATAGTAGTTACAATAAATTATATAAATAACGAGCAACTCACCCTCGCTCCACTCGGGTTCGTCCCTAGGTATGTTTTAAGGGTTAGTATAGATTTCTCATAGATGTAATAAAACCAGCTATCATCATACCAAATTTTATCAAAATCTGTCCAATGGTTTTCTTGTGACAGACAGACAAAAATTCTAAAAGCGATAGATTGGGCCTCTGTATCGATAATGATGACTATGACTCAATAAGATTTACCAAAAAATATTTTATGTACAAATACGACTCCGTTAGAATTTTATATATGTATAGATAACTAATCAAATCTTCCAAATGTTTAAAATGACCTTTTGAAATCTTTAAAATATAATTCTTATGTTATTAAAAATAGTTGAGCCTCACAGTAGCCTATGTGCTACTTCAGGGCATATCTATCTGTTTACTAAATTTCATCTAAACTCATCCAGCCGTTTCGACGTGATAACAACGAAAACAACAGTAACAAACATACACACTTACAAATTTTCGCAATTAATAATAGTACTGCGATTGTATATCAATTTTGGGCTACTCTTACAATTATGTACAATTTTATTTAACTTATTATGTTAATTTGAAGGAGACACATTTCAAACTAACCTGTAAAGCAGTGAATAATGGGAAGTAAACATCCGGTTCGTATTTCGATGTGCTGCCAGGCGCTGGCGGCACGAGCTGCCTCCCCATGAGCGCCGCCACGAAGTATGTGTATAGCGCTAGAGTCACTACCTGCAAATTTCACAATCATTACTACATGAAATCAAATTAAAAATGTGTATTCTCTATTAAATTTTAAGTAATACTATTTTATACGGACTTTATTGCGGTTTTATTTCGATTTTCGGTTCTCGAAGTATCGTATCGAATATAATAACTTTTAAAACGTCATATAGTTTCATGGCTGTATAATTCTAAGTTGGTAGTTCCTGTAAATTATTAATAATTATCTAAAAATTTAAATAAAATCCGAGTAAGCATCTTTAAAAATAGTTTTAATTTGAAATATTCGTGTAAATCTAAAACAGCATTAAATTATTACAATTTTTAGTGGACTTCATGAGTCTACCACCTTATTTGGAAGAAAAGTCATAGTCAATAGAAGAACTGGTGAACAGGTGGTACTGAATGATCGTCTAAACCAACACACTTACAAAAAAATCCTGAATCCGAACATAACCCAGCCTTGGTAATACGAGTATACACGTATAATTTGGTAAATTGGCTGTTTATTTAAATAAAAGAGCAAATTACAAAAAACAAAATCCTGGCTACGTAAAAAGACTAACTAGAAAGATGAAAACAAGGCAACGTAGGGACTTAAATGCAGTCAACGCAAACAAACATACGTATATTCATATCAAACATATGATCCGCCTTTTAGATTTCGTCATAATTGACGAATAAAATGAGAATTTCTTGATATAAATACTCAATAACTGAATTGGCCCGACCCGGGACTTGAACCCAGGACCACCAAAGGCAGAACACCGACGCAGCTATATGGCATATTATAAAACAAGAAGCAGTACTCGCGTCTTCGTCCCGCTTGAACTTCCGATCGCTTCCAAACTTTACAGGATCACACGCTTGACTAATCTGAACATTGCCTGAAAATTTCATCAAAATCGCTTCAACCGTTCATTAGAGTTCAAACGGAACATACACACATACATACATACATCTATTCTTATATATAGATTTAGCTTGTAACTGTATTTAATGAACTTTTCGAAAGCAAATTAACGTAGTTTAAATCTCTCATATTTACACTCGTTCTCCGTTTATTATTGAATCGCATTTGTCTAGTCTATTGAAAAATATTTAATTTTGCCGGTCAGCTCTTGTCTGATTCGCACCATTTAAACATTTTTGCAAGGTAGCCGTTTCAAATTTTACAATTACACTAATATTTGAACAACACAGTATTACTTAGTAGTTACTGTGGCTATTTTCTGCATATTTTCCTTGATATGTATGAAAATATGCTGTGTGAATATGCACGTGTGTCACTCAAAACGAGCACTTTCTTTTCATTTATCAATCAATTATCATTGTCATTCAATCAATCAATTTGCTTTTCAAAACTATTAATAGGATCTTTTCTAACAGGTTGGTACAGAAAGTAAAACACCCTAACACCCTCCGCTCCCCCCCCCCTTCCCCTCCCCGAATGAATGACCTATTCGTGGTGGGGAGCTCATTAGCGTCCGGCAATACAGCCAGGGGTGAAGCCAAGAAATGCACTGCGAGGCGACCTACCTCGGTGGGCGATGTAACATGCGGCTTCTGGTACTTCTCTGATAACAGAGTGAACTGTGGAGCAACCTCATGGCTGTTTGTGGTTAAGTGCGTAAGCGATTTTAGTGGGTAGTACTGGCTTTTCGAGCGTTTGAGTCCTGCGTAATTACTTGTATATATACAGGTGGTATGGACTAAATGCATTTCTCAACATTAAATAAAACAAGGAGGTAAAATATTGTTAGGTAGGAAAAAAACGAAACAATGAAATATGGTTATCATTCTGATGTCGATTTTAGGTAAATTATTGAATTTCCTTAATTTAGTCACTTGTCTGACTACTATTATTATTGCAAAAGTTTGAGGGTATGTTTATTGCTTCTTTATACTGAAGTGTTTAGAAGGATTTGGATAATATTCAGTATAAAGATAGAGTATGATCAGGAATAGAGTATGATAATGAGGATTTGAAAAAAAAAAAACGATCGCATTTGGCCAAGAAAAAAGTTCTTTTCCACCAGGACAGTGTAAGGGTGCACACATGTGCAATTTCCATGGCAAAAATCCATGAATTGGGCTATGAATTGCTCCCTCATTCACCCTATTCTCTGGATTTAGCCCCGAGTGACTATTTTTGTTCTCAAACCTGAATAAATGACTCGGTGGAAAGAGATTTGACTCCAACGAAGAAATCATCTTACAAACAAATACCTATTTTGATGACCTCGACAAATCTTGTTTTTTGGATGGGATAAAAAAATTAGAAAAACGTTGGACAAAGTGTATAGAGCTCAAAGGAGACTACGTTGAAAAATAAAATGATTTTTTATTCAAAAACCTGTGTTTCATTAAAAAAGTCACGGACTTTAATGAATTGAAATAATCGATCTAAGTAGTGGACCTCATCTGATTTAGATGGAATACACAGATATACCATATCCTAAATAATCATAGGATATTTTCGCGGATTTATTTTAATGTTTTGGTTCCCGACGATTCAAATGCTTTACCGTGACCATGATTCACGGGAAATCATAATCCTAAGGAAAAGATAGAAAACTATAAATATAATAAAATATCTAAACATAATATATGTATATATATATATATCAGTTAATGGAATTTGATGTGAACATGGAACATGTCGAAAACATTGATAAATAATCCTACGCAATTCGTTAAATAAACATTCAATTTCGATTACTAATAGACCTATATATATATATATATATATATATATATATATATATATATATATATATATATATATATATATATATACATATATCATATCTATTCCATACTAACCGTTAAAACGTACCTAGGGACACACAGTTGAACACTAGTTGAAATAATAAAATAATTAAAATGTGTATGTGTGTTACCACAAACAAGTCCCACTCACCGTAAATTTTTTAACCATTGTACAAAATCTTACAATATTAAATGAGCAATTCTTATATATACATAAATTTATTTTGTGTATCTCGGAAACGGCTTTTAGAATTCTTGTCCGTCTCTCTGTCTGTCTATCTGGGAGCGCATCACGAAATACCCCTGGACAGATTTTGATGAAATTTGGTATGATGATAGCTGGTTATCCGGGTCAACATGTACGATAACAAAGCAGAGCCGCGGAGCGAGGGTGAGTCGCTAGTTTATAATATTACTGAGTATATTTTATTTGGTAATCATATAAACACAAACATGGTGCAAGCAGATTTTATATATTTAAAATGTCAATTGACTTGACATTTCAAAAACAGAAAGCCGATTTTATATATTACTTATATTAGTAATATTTTTAAATCCCAGCAATCTTTTCAATGATTTTTCGAGTCCTCTCTTTGTTAAAAGATATTATGAAGAATAACTATAATTCATAATATCTATGGCTAGCCTGTAAGAGAAGAGATATAAGCCTATGTTGGTATGGAATAGATATGATATATATATATATATATATATATATATATATATATATATATATATATATATATATCATACTATAGTATGTGTTACTCCATGCCATGTTAGTTTATGTGTGTGTAGTAAGTTACATCCAAATCCAATTTAGCATGAACGAGTAACAAACGTACGCACATATACAAACATTCATATTTATGATAATAATAATATCCTCTGACCGACTCCGGCTAATCTCATTTAGATTAGGCTCTGCGCAGGAGAACCGCCAACTTACCAATTCTGCTTTATTACTGAGGCTTACTAAACAGAAAGACTTAATAACTAAACTTGACCGGACCCGGGACTCGAACCAAGGTCCTCCAGATGTGCAGCTGTATATGCTAGCCACTTCGCCACCGAGGCTCAGAGGCAGTGAATTTATTATAATAGCCCGATAATAATTTAACCCTTATATACATCCTACAGTCGGGAAGCCCAATGGCCAATTGTATGGCTCAGTAGACCATTCAAACTGGTCAAATACAAGATGGCGAACTCCAGATATCTTTCGAAAACTTAGCATAAGTACGCCAACCCGCACTTGGTCTGCGTAGCGGACAACGGCCTGATTCCCGTCGTATTGAAGAGGCCCGTGCCCAGCAGTAGGACGTTAAAAAGGGCAAAATACATACATTACCATTTACGAAAAACCAAAAAAAAATTATTTGACTAAACAAATTAGGTTTACTAGCCTGAGTGTAGACGAGAGGCACACACACGGTGTCATATCCGATCAGAGCTCCCAACCGTCGCCTTATATCTGAGAGTTCGACCAGCAACGTCTGCACTATATGGTCACTAGTTATAAGCCCTTCTTTTCGAGCCCTGTTTATTATGTTCGTTGCCCACACTAAGGGCATCCAGTATTTCGACATTGGACTTTTGCCGTCCATCTTTTCGAACACTTTTCTCTCACTCTCCAGCATTAAACCTGAAAAAAATGTCCAAAGTATTTCAAAATAATGTCTACATTTTCAGAGATTTAAAATAAGCATCTCTATCTATCTATAATAGATCGCGGTAAAATTCTAAGAAATTAATTGTTAACCGAGCTACTTTTTAATAACATAATATTCGATTAAACAATTTATTTAAAAAAATATATTGTTGATTTTTTAAAAAAACCGCTCGAACGATTTTGATAAAATTTGAAACAAAAAAAAATTTAATCGGTTCAGGCGTCTTCGAGTAATCGGTGAACATACATAAAAAAAATTCGACGATATGAGAACCTCCTCCTTTTTGAAAGTCGGTTGAAAATAAGTACTTTCTTTACAAGAGATTTTAATGGTCTGAATTTCAGTGTTCATTAACATAACATAAGTAAAAAATTATAAAAATGGCGACTTTTTTTCAATAATTCATGTTGTATCTTACTTGCATCATAATCACAACTACTAAGTAGTTTCTATCATGTTTCAGTTATCTAATTAAAACAATACTTTTCGAAATCAATTCGAGATCTCAAAAATGCCGAGATCTCGTCGAGATCGAATTTCTGATCCCTCGAGATCTCGACTTAGCAATCTCGTCTCGAGATTGCATTTCCTATGTATAAGTGATCATATAAGTAATGTTCAACGTCTAGTGATTTCCTCATCAACATTTGGTCATATCATATTCAGAGGAACAATGTAATATGGTGTTACTGAGATTGAGTTTAATATACAGCACAGAGCAAGATAATAAGGGATTTAATAACCCGATATCTCTAAGTACTGAAATTACTGTTAGATTTAGATCTTTTATAGTTTATTTTTATAAACGGTAATTTTGGCCATTGGCAGTCATTTATGGTACGTATATTTGTTTTCCATACTTGCACTATAAACAGATAATTATTAAATTTTTCAATGTTTAATAATTCAATAAGATTTAATTTAATTTCACAAGTACATTTAACTTAGTAGATAATTATGAGGACGCGAGGATATTTGTTATTCTTAAAAAAGATGAAGAGATTATAATAATACCAGCAATAAATATATCTTACCGGAGTCGACAACATGTTGCCATGTTGGAAACCGCCTCTTTACACGTAACGACACCCTCTGTAGAGTAATGACGTATGCCAGGATCGCATACCTGACGATATTTCTCCTCATCAGTCGTCCAGTCTCATCCTGTAAACAAAGATTACGAACGTTTATGAAATGCAAAATATAAAATGCAAGGTACACGCTAGTAAAGATGCTTTACACAAATGGTGTCAGATGTATATAATAAACACTATAAGCCAAAATATTATTTCAATAAATAATAATATAAATGCGAATGCTGTTGTTAGTTCATCTTTCTTTCGTGCAGCAATGGAGGCGCTGACCGACATTATAGATGGTTTATGGGCCGAAGTGACAAAAACGACTTTGGAACCCTGCACGATAAGTATGCATATAAGAGATGGTTTGGTTGGTTTGGTTTTGGCGATCGGGTTTTTTATGTTTATAACATATTTTTCTATTATCTAATCACGACAGAGCCAACATGACAAATGCCCGATTTCACCAACGTCACCTAAGTTTAAGGGATCCCCTAAGCATGGTTAGGGGGCTGTTAGGGGACTGTTTCTGTTTCACCAATAATTAGGGGTCACCTAAATATTAAAAGGCCCCCTAAATTTAGGTGATCGAAATATAGGCTTAAAGGCGATCGTAAAACGAAATTTAATAAAATAAAGGGGACTTTTAAGCTAGGGGTCCCATACGTAGGTGGTAGCTTATGGGTTGTTGGTGAAATCGGGCAAAAGACATTTACGTATGTTCCACCGCAGCGCGTAAGCTAACCATCGTTAACGCAACTATAAGCCAATAAAGAAAAAAAAAGCTAAAAGTCTGATTTTGATGAATGAGTTACCAATCGATTTGTTTTTTTTGTCTGGCTGACATACACTACATTTTTACTCTCATATTTAGTTTGTTTATTCCTCAGTCGGACCAAACAATTTGAAAGGTTTTTCCGTATTCAAAGAGATACATCATTTATGCTATAATAGAAACAAACCAGTTAAAGTTGAAAAAATTCATCTCATAATATATGAACAAAAAATTATGAGTTCGTAATTAACTCAAAGCAAAATTGCAAAAAAACGCCAGCTGTTAAAGTTTATTTATTACATGATTTGAAATATCTGTTACGCAGTTTAAAAGCGAGTTTATAGGGAAAATCCATATTGAGTTAATTTGTTATGTTATTATGCTAGTCAGCAAGTTTTTTGTAATAAACGTGTTCAAATATTTATTATTATTGTAAACTTTTAGTCTTTATATATACTAGCGTCTCACTCTTGCTTTGCTCAGGTTCGTCTCTAAGTACGTTTTAACGTTTAGTATGGAATAGATAGACTATATATAATATATAATGTACATAGTTTGATGAATTGTTGTGGGTTGTATCATAATGTGTTTTCCCGTGGCAATGAGATAATTTCCCGCGGTAAAAAGTAGCTTATGTCACTCTCCAACCCTCCAACTATCTCCACAAAAAAAATCACGCCAATCCATTTCGCTGTTTCGACGTGAAAGAAGGACAAACAAACAAGCAAACACAATTTCACATTAATAATATTAGTATGGATATTTTCTATATATATGGGAGGTTACAGGTTCATTTCTCACTTAGGTCAATGGATATATTTATATTAAAAATATAAAAGGTAAATATGTCAACTACGACCATATTCTGTTTTTTTTTCTTAAAAAACTAAACCCTTGTGTGATACAAACAATTTTCATTCCAGGTCTTCTTTCAGACCTTAATTATAATATGAATGTTTCACGTAAAACAGTAGATGTAATAGAAAAAAGTAAAAAAATATAAAAAAATAAATTATCTACATATATGGAAAAAAAATTGTTTATTAATCATCTGATTACAGTAATTTAAAGAAAGACAAAAAACATACTAGGCTTTTAACATCGTTAAAAAAAGTACTAGATGCACAATCCCATGCAAAAGTTCTCTTAAAACTGTCACCGTAAGTCTAGTTGAAATAAATATACAACAATGTAAATTGAACCTTAAATGCAAAACTTAAAGATGTTTTTACAAAAAAAACTAATAAAAAATAAAAGCGCGCTCAAATGTTCATATGAGCGCTCATTCGTTGAGGACATTTTTTGTAGCTGATTGTGTATCTAGTTCTTTTTTGATGGATGGTTTTTATACACGCAGGATAACTTATGATAGATAGGTTAATGTTTCTGTGCACTTCATATATGAACAATTCGCTAAGCCAATACGTAGATCAAAGATCAACAATGTACAAGAAGTGCGTCGTATAAAGTTACACAACCACTTGTTTTTTAAGAATAAATCACATTTAAATTAATGATTTCTCATCGATCATAGAATAAATAAATAAGTTATTTTAACAGCAAATAACTGTTCATTATATAATAATCATTCGCAGAATGCATTGCACCGCAATTGTTAAGAAATGCTTTATTATAAACCAGTAATAAAAATATTAGGCAGTGGTAGCCCAGTGGTGACGCGCTCGCTTGAGTAACTGAGTGATGCGGGTTCAAATCCAAGTCTTACACCTCTAATATTTTCATGTGCGAATCATTTCAACCATGAAACCTGCATGTCTGAGAGAATCTAGCAAGTTTTCGAAAGACATGTGAAGTCCGCTATCCCGCAGTTGGCCAGCGTGATGGACTATGGCCTGATCCACTTCGTATTGAAGGGAAGCCCGTGCCCATCAGTGGGACGATTCCCAGACTGTGTGATAGAGTATTTAATAACAGAAAACACCAGGAACTGTTTTGGCCCGACCCGGGACTCGAACCCAAGACCTCCGACTACAATCGTATTCTAGACACTAGCCATTGCAATTAGAGTTATAACAATAGCATAAAGGAGTTTTCATCTAACTGAAGTTACTCATTTTTTCTAATCTAAGGTCACGGTTTTAAGTCTCGCTCAAGGTTAATGCTACTTATGGCCACTCGTTGATTATGACTGCACGTGCCACAACGTCTTTGTTTCCTACGTCCCAATATATTGGTTGGCGTTATCTAATGACCAAGAAGTATGGATTATCCAAATTAAAATTATGGACGAGTGCCCAAAACGTTTGATTTTAGCAAGAGGTGTCGTTGGTTATGTCTTAAACGTGAGATTTATATAGTGATATTTCTTAGTTTTTTTGTGACGAAATTTTAAGCGGAATATATAATTATGACCTCATAATACTTTCTTAGATTTACGCGAATATTTGACATTTTAAATTTTTTAATAAATATTTTTTTTTAAATGTTTAGAAATAAAAATCAACAAATATTGTAAGGTACTTTATTGCCATTTTTTGAATTTATGAAATCATTTTTGTAAAATAGTAGGTAGGCATTGTCTGTAACAAGTATGTGTTTGAGACGTCTATAACCTTAGTCTCTCCCGTGACCATGATTGCTGTAAAGGATTCAAAACGTCGGGAACCAAAAATCAAAATAAATCCGCGAAATAATCCGAAAAGATAGTTTTATTTAAAATTATGACCTCGTTAGAATTATGCAAGTTTTTTGTATAGTTTTATCAGTTAATACAGATCAAAGCCTATGATAATTTTCACCTAACGTGGAAGCTATAGCCTATATAGAAACGTTTAATTTAGTTAAAAACTGACAGGTTTTACTTTAAAGTGAACCAACAGCTGTAATAACAATTTGACGCCATGTTGGCTCAGTTTGTAGTGATCCTACTTGCGGGGTCAGAGATCGCGGGTTCGAGTCCCGCTGGGAATATTCATTTGTGTGATGAGTACGAATGTTTGTACTCCAGTCAAGGGTGTTTATATTTATAATATACATGTATATAAATTAAAAAGTTATATATGTGTAGTGTATCAACTACCTGGTATCCATAACACAAGTCTCGTAACTTACCATGGAACTAGATGGTAATGTCAAAAAAAAATTACAATTTTTTCATAATGCAATATCGCTACTTCAATATAATAATTGCAAATCTTCGTGTGACGATATGAATTTTTCTTATATTTTTTTTATTTAGTTTAGTTTCATTGCAATCAAAAATATGTTTGAAAAATAAACACCGAGCAATTTTACAATTGCCATAAAATAGCTCTCTCACAACAAGATTATTATTATTAAGCGAGTTTATATTATAATCCTTTACACCGCTTCGCTCGGGTTCAGATTAGAAGTTCCTGAGATTAGCGCTTTAAAATAAACAAACAAACTCTGCCTCTTTATAATATTAAGTATATTAAGTATAGATTTCAACCTCTTCACATACAATCGTATTAGTACAGATTTTAAAAGTACGCTATCCTACTATAAATGTAGCATTGTAATATCAGATTACAGGTAAGTCATTGAAACAAGTATAGGCTTGCGTATCGTTTAGCTTCCGTATTCATTGTATTTAAATATAACCGCCTCGATGTGTAGTTGGGAGTATGTACGACTGCACATCCGGGGGTCCTGGGATCGAGTCTCGGGTCAGACCAATAGTTATTGGGTCTAATAAGAAAATTCTCATAACAGTCAGGAGTTGCGAAGTTACGTATTAGTTATACAAATTCTCGTCCCATCGGAATTTAAGAGTGGACTGGTATTTGCGAGTATACTGTACAATAATATGCACTACGTTTTAACGTTTAGTATAGATTTATCAGAGATGAGATATTTCCCGCAGTACAAAGTATCCTATATGTTGACCCGGACAACCAGCTATCATCATACCAAATTTCATCAAAATCCCTTCAGTGTTTTTTCCGTGATGCGGTCACAGACAGACAGACAGATAGACAGACAGACAAAAATTCTAAAAACTATAGATTCGGCCTCTGTATCGATACTAATGTATATCTATTTCAATAAGATTTTTCAAAAAATATTTAATGTGCAGATTCGGCTCAGTTACAATTTTATTATATGTATAGATATAGATAATACCTCCGGTGCATACGTCCGTGCCTTTATTTGAGCATTTTTATATTTTGTTATTATTTTTATTTTATTTTATTTGAGATAGATTCGAGCGTGTATAATTTTAGAATCAAAAGATTTTGCGACCATAAAAAAAGGAAAAGCTGAATAAAACTATGGAGTCGGGTGGACTTTAAGAGTCCACTCAAATGCGCAGTTGGCTAGTCTTA